CACAGCTTAAGAGCTTGTTTGTGCTGCCCCTACATATCTTTCACAACAACCCCTCTCCACCAAATAGCTGCTTGCTGGGGTTAGGTACTGCTCTCAGCACTTAAGAATCAGAAGGAAAAAGAGTCAAATGCTTCTTCTAGCAAGGTCCAGCCCTGCAGGATTCCCTTTGGGACTCTTGTAAAGAACTCTAAGCTCAGCTTCACAAGCCTTCTTCTGAAGTAAATAAGTTCAGGCAAAATATGTGAGAAACACATGAGGAACCCAGAGAAGATCTGGAGAAAAATGAGGGCTATCCTTCAACAAGACAGGCTGAACTGTCCAAAAAAAAGAGTGAAAGAGAAGGGCGTATTCAGCACCAGGTGGACAAAGAAGTTTGAAAGAAAGCCCAGGACAGTAACAAACCATAACATGCCTTTATTGTTCAATTTACCATTCATTATCATACAACAGAGGAAGGTTTCTGGCAAGGGATAAAGAAAGTGGGCAGTTCTGTGTATCTAAAAGCAGCAGTGTAGTGTCATCTCCAACTTTAATTTCATACAAAACCCAATAGGGTGCTACCTAATAACCCAAAACATTTCTTGACAGCAAGATGAAAGGGGAGAGGAAGTAGCTGACAGAGCGCTATGCTTTATGCACAGAAGAAGCTTAAATATATGGAAAAAAAGTCCATGTTCGAGGATTTAAGTTCCATCTAATACATTCTACGCTTCTCTTCCTATCCCATGGAAACTATTCTTCAGGCTGAATTCTGTACTTGAACTTCTGTTCGTGTTAAGTGAGCCATACTCAATAACAGTAAAAACTATTGGAAGGTGTTTGCTAATTAGTTATTGATGCTGGCTAGTGAAAGAAAGATATTTGCTTCATGTCTCAGAGAATATATGACGTTTGTCAATACATTTTGATTCAGAAACCTTGTTCCTGCTGCATACCTGCCTATTAAAAACAGCAAATATTTGGAAAGTTTCTGAGACCTCTGCTGACCAAGGATAGATTTGTAGCTGTGATGTAAGTAAAAAAAGAAGTGTGCTCCTGAGCATCTTGGATGGAAATTTTCAGATTGGTGCAAGAGAAATTAGAGTGAAGACCTTTATTAAATAGATAGAAATCCAAAAGGTTAGTTTATTGGGCTGCACACAGATTTTTGAGACCTGTTGGTTTTGACACAAATGTTTTTGATATTGGTGAAGTTACTGTAATGGTTTTTGACAGGTAGGAGCTTGTAAATAAGACTGCCTAAGTGACTGAAGCACATTTAAGGAATTGTGTATTGGAATCATCTTTAAGAATGACACCTTCTGCAGCCCTTGAGCATCTTGTTCTGTTACCAAGGAGATTGCCAGTATGCCCTTACTAACAAGGTTTTGCTTTGTAAAAATATTTTTAATAACATAAATGATAGAATAACGTTAACCTTCTCTCTCCATCTCTGCTTAATGGAGCCTGGAGCTTTTTATAAAAAGTCTGGGCATGACTGATTAGAGCTGAGCCAAGTGACATTAATACATAATCCTTACCCGTTCTCAAGTCTAAGGGTCAACCACTCCTAATAGGATTTCTTACTCAAAAAGTTCTGGACATCCTCTGAATCAAAAATTATTAGTCAAACTTTTTAGTCGTCAGCAAGTTATTAAGTGTGACAGTGTAGTGCAATAACCTGAAACAGCTACCAGGGCAGAGTAGCCATGCTATACTTTCAGATCACTGTTTCAGCATCTTTCCATAATGTATTCAGAGAGCAACGACGACAACGGATTTTGGATACTATAGGTGTTGCATCTCAGCAATTTCACAAATCAAATCAAATGCACTCTTTAAAAATGAAAGACCAATTTTTAAGCTGCCTACCTGAGAAACTTAAGATTTTTACATGAAAGTCAGTTTCCTATATTTTCTCTCCTACATATATATCTCATTCTTTCTGACTCCCTGTATCACAGTAAAGAAACTGTACCTTGGGACACGACTCTCCTGCTTCTTTCAGATAACGCCAAAGACAGCTGTTCAATACCTTGGCTGGTCAATGCATTTACACAGGGGTAACTAGTCCAGCTAACAGTCTGCTAAGATGCAAGATAAATTATTTTCAACACTCATTCTAGTGTGTAAAGACAAAAAAAATAAAGAAAAAAAGCTGTGATATTACACTTAAAAAGATCACGTCTTCTTGTTTCCATTGTTTCCATTTTGTTGATAAGAAATAACTTTTTCTGGCAAATGCTCCTGCAGCAATGATGAGAGTCTCTCTTTGATGATATTACTATTATTTTAATAACATCCATAATAATAAACTCTTATAAAAGTAGGTTCTACAAGAACAAAATTGCCTTTTATGATTAGCTTTTGAAAAGAACCAGTGTTTCTTTAAAGGCTGGCATAAATAGTAGATGATGACTTTTAAGAAAGATGCCTTTTAAATGGCCTGTGTTGGTAGTTATTTGGCTGACAGCACTGAAGCAAGCAGGGAGACTCCCACCAGCTGTGCTATGGGAGAAATAGCATTTCAAACTAGCACAGCTATTTCTTCATTCAGTATTCATTCACGGTCAGAGGAACAGAACCTGGAATCTCAAGTGGTAATATGGGAGCACAGTAAGGAACATGCATGATAAATCAGCAGCTCTAGACAGGCAGTTAGTAGCTGTGAAGCCACTTGTCATGACTGTTCTCTTCAGCAGTTTGCAGGGGTCACGGTTTTAATCACGTCACACAATGTAGCAATGGCGGTAAAACTGACCAAGTGAGAATATCAGTAGTAGTAGCTCAGCATTTAAGGTACTTACTAACACTTAAATAACCATTGCCAGGAATAAAACCTTCTCCTAGCAGACCAGGAGAAAGAAGAACCTAAAGAGAAGTATTACTGTGTTGATTTGTTATTATTTAATCAGGTTGAATTATAAAAGATGCTTGTGGATTGAGCTGGTAACATTAAGGTACTCTGCTGGAATTCATCTAGATAAGCTCGAGCCAGTTAAACCCAAGTGACACACAGTGGTCATCTGCAGAGACAGTTAACAGAGGACAGAACACATATTCTGATTTCTACCCAAGTTTTTCAGTATGCAACTTTGCACACACAGTCTTTCCAAGACTGTTTTCTCTGGCAGGAACAGTGAGATTTTAAAACTGATGAATAATATCAGCAAACACAAGCCCTTAGCTAAGTACGCATCCCATAAAAAACACAGTTACACTGATGTAATATTCACACACAGCTTCCACCAACTGACATCTTAAATTGGTTCAGGATCTTTCCCTTTTATAATAAGCTCCAGTCCTACTACTTCCACAGAGTTATTTTTCATACATTTTCAAGAAAAACTAAAGAGATAGAAATATAGCATTTAAATTACAGAGTGACTGGGGCTGTTATGCTTTATTTAAATCTAGGTAAATCTAAGTAACTGTACTGATGTCTATTCAACATAGTTATAACATAGCATAACATGAGTTATGCTGTCCTAGCATGCAATACAATTCAGTCTCCTCACATTAGTATAATTTATCAAGCAAGTCATCAAACCACCATTCATTCTTTAATACTGATAACTTCAGATACACTGTGCGGCAAACCTCGAAAGTCACTGATTTGCATTCAAATATTGTCAAAAATAAGCCTTCCTTTTCCTGGCTACTTATTCTTGCTCCCCTGCCAGCACAAGCATCGGTGCCATCATATCGTTAACTCACCCAAGAAACTGATCCAGCTGAGAAACTGTCATTATTTCCATAAATGGGTGGAGACAATTTCCAGAATCCTACGACTTTCCCAGAGATCACTTTGCCAGCCTTTATTTGACAAGGGAGATTCAGGCAAGGCATCCCTTCTAATCAAGGCTGCAGGAGGGGACACAATCCCCACAGGTGCATCAACCAGCAGTAAGACATGCAAAATAGCATGAATGCTATTCATACTATTCATTTCACCTCCAAAGCAGAGAGGCTGCCAGAAGAGACCTCAGCACATGGAAGAAGTGCCTCCATAAGACAGTAAATTCGGCTGCAAACCGCCCTGAGCCTGATCAAAACTATCATGGTAAAGTGCCGAACTGAGGCCAACTTATTCTGTTGGTTCAAACTAGCGCACAAAATGCTCACTGAAATCCTGAAACTGGCAAAACCTCAGAGGTAACACAGAATAAGGGCAGGAGGCCTGCATGAGCAGTACTACATGTTTTGTCTAATTTGGAAGAAATGCAAACATACACCCACATTTCAATAGGATTATTGTGTACTGTTAAGTAATGCAGTAATATACAGAATGCAATTAGTGAACTCACAGCCATTACTTGTTTAGCGAATCTGCTGTACACTATCAGCAAATGAACCATGATAACATAACCAAGTAAATCAAATCAGACACATCAGCACAAAACGCAGCATTTATTTTCAGATGTTTCATAATACTAACATACTAACACCTTCACATGGGATCTCACTGTAGCACTCAGAAACTTAAGTTTCAAAAAAAAAAAAAAAATTGCGGTGATAAGTTTTTTGACCATTACTAGGCTTGGAGATGAGAAGCTTCCCATTTTACAGTGCAGGAAAGCTAGAGTGGAAATACCATTCAGAGATATTGCTTCATATTGGAAGACTAAGAGAGCAAAACGCCAGACACAAATGCCTGGATTTGCAGGATGCCCCCTCCAAAAGAACTAGATAGCAATGAATAATGAAAATTCCAATTGCTACTTCCAAAGATGTTCCAAGTTTAATTTTTTTTTTTTTTAAAAAAGACAGCAGTCTTCCCTTACAAGTTGACATTTCACAATGCCATTAAAATTTTATTACAAAAACAGATCCAAAAGTACAGTTAAATACGTTTAATTCATCTGCTCATGTTAATTCTTAATTATTCTAGTCTCCTTACTCACATATCTTCTTTATTCCTATGCATGATAGGATTTCAGGGACATGAGATGCTATTTTTTTTTTTTAAGAAAGTTATTTTTTAAAGAAAACACTAGAAAGGCAAGAAAGATTTAAAGAAAATCAATGTTACTAATAAGGCAACACATTAAAAATAAAATATCAAAGTATGAAACACTGCATTTTATTGATGTTCCCGCAAGATCATTTAGTATAGCTCAATGCTGTTAGTCCCCTGATATCAAAGTGATTATCAAACATAATGTGGCATTTCCTAATCTTTTTATAAATGTGGTATATTTATTTAATGCTTTAAAAATCAAGAACCAGAAATAGGACCATTAGATAAATTCTATAATGGCATTTTAACATTTTAAAGGAATTAATCAGGTCATTCACTATAGTTCCATGTTCCTATTTACCTTGGATGCTCAAGCTGCAAACGACACATCGACAGACACTAGGTATTTTTTCAACATAGAGAGGAGTAATAGAGATGAAGACATGTTTCTTCCGTAGCTATTTACTGTTTCACATAAAGCCAAATGTAGGAGTTCTATTTTTCCTTTGGTCTGACAGTGAACATTTGGTTTCTGTGCTTCAATAGTTTTGATAGCTCACCCTGCTAAGTTACCTACAGGACTGTGGATTAAGATTTTATTTTTAACTTATCCAAATGCAAGATGCTTAAGAAAATGCAAGATGTTTAAGAAACCTAACCATCAGATAGCACAAGTCCTCAAAACTGCTGAACATCACCACACAGGATACATTTGCAACACAGACAAAGAGGAGAAAGTTTCCAAAGGTTTTTTTTATATTCATAGAAGCATTTGCTGTGTGATTTAGTCACAGAAATGTTATCATCTGTCTCTCCTGAGTAGAACAGACATGCTGAAATCCTGACCCGTCTCTTACATAGCAGAGTAACATTTATCAGTAGAAGTGCTCCCAAACGTTATTTAGAAACCTAATAACCCAAAAATTAATAGTTAAGTTCATGTGCATCTTTAACAAAGAAGAAGAAACTACAAACGGTATTAGTTACAGTGGTATCAAAGAGGAGGAAATTAAAAACAAGATGTATGTGATTCACTTGAAGAATAAAGATCACAAACTCCTTTACAAGGTGTACAGTGCTATTTTTTAAAATTAAATTTATGCTTTTTTTTTTAATTTATGTGGAAAAAGTACTGTTACGACTCTACTTTAAACTGAAGGCCTGGATTTGATAACTACGTTATACAGAGATATAAATAAGTACGGCAAATGAAGATCATTCCTTACTGCTTTGATCCGAGAAAAAAACCCACAGTTGGAAAGGAAAGTAAGTATATGGAGAAGGAAATTAAAGCTCAAAGATAATAATATGAGAAAAGGATAGTCATGTGACGCAGTAATGTGGATCAGATTGACTATCAGCATCTAGAAACAGCAAGACACACAGTAGAAAAAGCCATCACAAATTGTATCTCTCATTCAGACTAACAAAGCAGGCAAAGACAAGCTCTTTTCAGACTTCTGTGTACATGGAATTTTAACATATGAAATACAAGTTGGTTAAAATACTGCTAAGAATAGCACTAACAAGAAACAGTACTTCACTTATCACTTAATACAAGTTTTTACAGAAAAAAATTGGTGAAACACCCAGATCTTGGTGTATTCAAAGTACATACGCATCTGGCAGACCAAAAGTTACTTGTCTCGGATTTAATTTAAGCACCTTCATTACACAGTGTCCTTTACTACAAAACAGCCAAACATACATTCAGAACTCTAAAACTATTTTTATAATCAACATATTTTAAAGCATTTTATGGCAGACAGGTGCATCCAAAGTTGTCTTCCTTTTAAAGATATGCAATTTGCATTTTTTCCATACCCAAAGAGCTCTTTGCATTATTTTTCATACACAGTTCATCAACCTATTTCACAAGTCATTTATTTAAATGCTTTCACTTTTACAAAATACCTTAAAAAAAAAAAAGAGGAAATTTGCACTTAAGTTTCTCATTCTTGAAACATACGGCTTAAACATAATCAGGAGACAACTATGTTCTCACTCAACCCCCATGCCTCTGCCCTGCAAAGGAACTACTTAGTTTTAGGGATTATATCCCTGTGAGCCCAAGGCCTGCATGTACATAATAATAACGCTTAACATAGAAACAGTGCCACCTTCTGAGGATCTCAAAGCACTTCACTAACAGTTGTTTTAGCCTCACAACACCCCTGTGAGGTAGGTATGGTATTATCCCCAATTTACAGAACCTTTTGTGTGTGTGGCACAATCACACTTAAAACGTTCGCTGATCTACAAGGGCAGCTTCTTAACCTGCAGCCTTGAGCAAAATAGTGTTAATGTTCCTGAAATACTTCAGATACTTAAAAGTTTGTACTGGCACTCTCATTCAGGCCAGCGGGTGGAAAAAGATTAAAGCAAAGTGCTAGGTAGATTGCTGCTCTGCCACCTCAGGCAGGTTGTTTTGGAATGTTTATATAGATGGCTGGACTGGCTGAACCGTTTGCCACACTTTAAACAGGCATAAGGCTTTTCTCCTGTATGCACGCGGATGTGCTTCTTACAGTCTGTTAGGGTCAAAAAAGTCTTGCAGCAGATCTTACAGGCATATTTGCGAGCACCTTCTACAACCAAGACATTGTGCTCAGATAAGGCCTTCTTACATTTTGAAAGAACATCTGCAGATGCCCTTGTCAACTGTGGTGGACCAGGTTGTGAAGGATGCCCATTTTCAAAAGAAGAAGTGGTCCCATTCATTAACAGCTGGGAACTGGAAGAGTTATCTTGCAGCTGGGAGCTCCTGACAGAGGTCACAACAGGCATTTTGGGGGCTATGCGACGGTAGCCAGGAAAGCTACTAGCTCCACCTCTTACAGAGCCCATCATTGCCCTTGACAGAGAATGCAGGCCCAAGCCTGACCTTGGAAAATCCATACCAAACTGTTCTGCAGCCCGGTATCCAGATGTCTGTACACAGGGAAGACCCATTACATCCTGCATTGGTCTAACAAAGTGAGAGTCCGCAGGCTCACTAAAAGGATTCTCTACATGAGAGACTGTCGCAGATGAATGACCACTCGCAGACCCGGATTCTGGACTCATTAGGTAAGAGGCATCACTGTCCATTCTGCAGTCACTTGTTGTATTTGGAATGTTGTCATCATTATTTTGACTAGCACCAAAGCTGCCACCTCTGCTTTTATTCAGAAAATTAGAGATACTGAAAGTGGACTTGTGTTCCAGGTTATTTGACACTTCCATAATATGGATGTCTCCCACCCTATCAGTACTGGACTGAGGATCAGAAAAGCTACGATCACTGCTTTCAGGACTCAGTTCTATCTTCTCTGCGCTCACCACTCCTCCTTCCACTTCAACAGACTCACTGCCTTCTGCTTGAGAAGTGACATCACTCACTTCATCTTGAGGCTCTGGGGAACTCAAGGGCTCAGATTTAACCACCACTCTCATATGCTCTTTCTCATTCAGGCTGACCTCCGGATTCTCACACGGGAAGTTGTTCTTCTCAGAAGTAGTGTCTTGGTCAAAGCTGGTTTCCACCTGCGTTGCCTGGGATGCCATGGACATCTGTGAAATGTTTCCTCCACTGTTGTCAGATTGGCTGGGCAGTTGAGCATCTTCCTGAGCACTGAAAGACTGATCAAACATAATAGTATTATCCTCCTGATTATCAGTTACAGCATCAGCCTTAGAATTGTCCACAATCTTCAGTGAATCTGGTGAAAAGAAATCTTCCCGTGAATGAACTACTGACTGTCCACTCTCTGGAGTAACATCTGTAACGGACTCATCTATGGTAGGTCTGATTCGCTGCCGGGCCCGATCTTCAGAAGACTGTTTACGCTTGTGGAGACGCCGAATAGGAAAAGTCGTGCGCTGCTCTATGTTACCTCTCATCGATGAGCTCATGGTACTTGGTTGCTCCTCTGTGCTCTGAGTGGAATTTAATGCAGAGCTCACAATGCTCAGTCCAAGCTGCTGAAGCATGAAAGATCTTTGCATGCGCGCATTTTGTTCTTGAACTCTATCATTAGGTGGGAACATCGGCAGTGTCCTGGTAGTAAGGTAGTGTTTACATGCTTTAACAACAGAGTTCAAATGTAAGTGAGAAGCAGCCAGCAAGACATCCATAACATTGCTCTCTCCAAGCATTAATGTGGAAGTGTACATCATGTCAATTAGAGCAGCAAAAGCTTCAGCTGTCACCACTTCACTGTCCAGCTGAATCATGTTCATAGTTTGATCTCCCTCTGCAACAGTAAAGAGAGCTCGGAAATGTGTGCTACACGCTGCCAGAACTGAACGATGGGCTTTGAAATGCCTGTTTCCCACCACAATGACACAGTCACAAAGTTGGCCATGAAGCCTCTGGTAGTTTAGCTGCTGAAAGATTTGCTCAAAGTGTCCTGGAAAATCCATGATCCTACAAAACAGAACAGCAGAAACTATAATACTAAAAATGGCTGGAGTTCTATTTAAACCACAGTGAGGACAACTTAAAAATCAGAGACAACGGCTAAAAGACAGATGAACGATACCTGATCTTAATTTACCACTACCATAATGGTATTAAATCAAGGCTAGCAATGAGCACAGTGCTGCAAAGAACACAAGGAAAAAAAAAAATACAGATTCTGTCATAGAGCTAACCTAGTACAGCAGCTAACGCAGCATCGAACATGACACAGATAGTTCTATTATGAACTAAACTACGCAAGTCATGTCGCTCACGTTAACCCTCATCCAAACTAAAACATACTCTTTAAACATCTAATCCTGACTTACAATGTTCTACTTGTGAAGAATCCACTGCAACCTTTGAAAAATTGTTCAGATGATTAGATAATCTCACTCTGAGAAGTCTGAACTTTAATTCTGGTCTCATGTAACCCAACTTCACTTCTAGCAACTGACTTTTTGCCTATTTTTCTCTGCTGCAATGCAGAGAAATATCTTCTTTCAAATATCTGCCTCTTAAAAGAATTCAGAAAATAGTTAACGGAAAAGGAGCACGGCACTTTTGCATTGGAATGAGTGGTCAAGAGCTATGAGCGGTCACAGACTTCCACCTTTAGCTATCAGAAGTGCAATACAATTTTCACCTCCGCTACAGTCTGAGCCAGAACGCACTGACCATCCTTTGTTTCTCTCGTGAAATAAATAAAATGGTAGTGAGACAGAAAAGTAAGAAGAGATGGCACACTAACGTAATATTGCAAAGACCAAAATTGTTAGGTCACACAGAAGCCAGCTAAATACTCCCTGCCAGCCTCATCAGACTGGAGCTAAAGGAAGTAGAGCAAGATGCTGTCCCCAAACCAAGATGCAGCTGGCATTCATCTGCCTCCTATTCCTCTAGGATATAGGACATACACTTTGTAGGTCTTAGCTGGAGAAAGATTTCACCATTACTTCAGTGGACTAAGAATCTTGTCTCTATCCAAAGTACACAGGCTAGCAAAGAACAGGAGTTGTAAGTAAACACAGAAAGGCTGAAATTTCTGCTGGCAAAAATCAGAGGCAGCTGAGAGGCATTTGCCTCCAACCGTAATTGGTTCCACTGCATTTTAAAAAGGGCTTTCACCTTACGTCTTCCAGCACTGGTGAGGAACCACATCTACCAGGGCATTAAAAATTCCCTAATTTGGCAGTACTAAGGCTGTGGCATCAGCCCGAAGAACGAACTGCAATGAGATTGAACTAAGGATTCTGTCACAGTCCCCCTTATTTCTATAGGGGAAGGCATGAGGAAGCAAAAGAGTTTGAAAAGTTATTTTTTTTAAGACATGGGAATACAAAAATACCACGAGATGTTATTTGAGAGTAAAAATAAGACATGTTCAGATAACAATAAATTAAACAAGACATACTTCAGAATTGCAGCTTTAATTTACGCATCTCTTCTCTGAGAGAAGTATAACACATGGGAAAGTGAGGAAATCCTTCCTAGCATATAAAAGAAGAGGGGAGGAACAAAACAGGAGATCCTGAAACTCACTGACCTCAGACAGCTGGACAAAGGGAGCACTAGGCAACTGCGAAAAGAACCACTACTCCCAATACAAAGTGCTCCAAACATGGTACAGGACGGGGCTGTTTCGTGAACATGCCATGTAGCTGTCTGTCTTTGCAGGAACTCTGCCTCTGCGTATGCATATGCCTCGTTAAACTAACACTCTCCTCTGACCACTATTTCCTCTGTGAGCAAAACTCCCCTTCAGCCAGACTTCTGGGCTGGGACAGGACTACCAAGCAATTCTTTTGCTCGCCTCTGAGATGGCCAGGTACTCTGCTAGAGCTAATGCTCTGTTCTTAGCTTTGCAAGACTAACATCCAGGATCTAGGGGGAATACAGGGAAAGGAGGAGGAAATATGGAGGACCAACAGTTGCGAAAGCAACAAAGCTAGCAATGCTAGCATTTTTTTTGTATCTTTAAAGACAGTTGGAAAACATATGCGCACATGAGATATTAATTTGACTTCACTTACTAAGTATGCATTCATAAAAGCTAAGGCCTATCTCAATGAACTGTATAAAACGTTATCTGTACTTTCGGGGGGTTTTAAAATAAACTATTACATGTATGTTCAGGAATAATGCATCCTAATTTAATTCTCTCTGAAACATTATAGTTAAGATCTTTTACATAAGCATTTGAAAACTGCAAAGCTAGATTTCAGTTATATACACTACATATTTTTCACATACAGCGTTCAGTGAGATAGCTATTATTTCAAGTTACTAAAACCTGCAATGCACTTCAGTCAGTACAGAACATTTCTGAATTGATTATTTCCAGACACTCGCATTCAATCCATTTTTCCCTTCCTGCTTTAGGGATGCCTCACCTTTCAGCAACAGCTGGCCATAAAGACTCTCCTGAAATACTTGTGGGCTGTACATCCCAAATAACTCTCCTACCAACTGACTCAGGCTCCAGCGTATGGCTGAAAGACATGCATCCTCTCACCGGGTGCTAGATGAATTTTTCTGCTGAGTCAGATCCAGTCAGTGGGCCGTAAGTCAGGCACCGGTGGTAAAAACAGCAGATATTCAGTTCAGTGGCCTTTTGACACCTTAGTATTATAACTGAATAAATGACTACAAGTGAAAAGAAAGTAACGTTATAACGTTTTCTGGTTGCAAGTATTTTACTACAAATACAAATGGGTCGGAGCCAGGGCAATTTTAAAGACAAGAAATGAAAGCACACCTAGAAAACACGGAGTGGAAAACAACTGTTCTATCTCCCCACAGGCTAGGGCTCATGAAATGATACTAGCTGGGTCAGAACCAAAGGAAATGCTTCTTTATGTAATATAGAGTTAAACTACAGAACTCCTTACCACAGGCAAATTTATATGAATTCAAAAGCTATCATATAAATCTGTTGAAGAAAAAAATCAACTGAGAGCTAATAAATATTCTAGCTCCACCAATGCCTCAGGAAGTCACTAAACCAGAAGCCACTGGAAGCTTAGTTCTGTATACATTTATTCCTGTGACTTTCAGTTTTACAGCTTGCTTTGATACTATTGAAAGAGATTTTGGAAAGAATGATTAATATTTTTAATTTAAGATTGATTTATTAAAAATGATTCTGTAAGCATTTCCTTCCAAACATCTTGATTATACTCTTAAAAAACAATTAACTTTTGAATAAAAGGTGTGATCAGTAAATGCTTCAATTGTTAACCTGCTTCTTCATTTATGTCATGTGGTAAAATATCTTCATCCACATAATAGTAGGGATAAGTCTTGAATGTTTAAACTAAGCCTTCAATATTAGGAAAACTGCAGGTATAAATATATGAAATTGTGAAGAACAAGTACAAGCATTTTGAATTCCTCAGAGAAAAAAAGAAAAAAAGAAAAAAAAAGGGCTTACAATTCCACTACCTGTTTATTCATCTCCCTTCAGTTATTAACCGCTGAGTCAATTCCAACCAAATTTAACACAGGGGACAATAGATATTGAATTCCTAAGTTTGTTATTGAAGTCGGTGTCTGGTTATGGAAGAAGCCAAATGTATAAAGACCCATTTCTCGCAGAGTCATAACTTAATTCCTTATTTGCAATGAAAAAGGAAAAAACCCACCAGCTGGTCAGTTTGTGCACACTGCTAAAAAGCCACTCATGTTGCCATCTGCCCAGCCAGACAGGTATGGACTACAAGAGACAGCTGGTAACATTAACCACATTCGGGGAGAAGGCATATTATGGAGATCCCTAAGGGACTAAGGGATTCAGGTTTTATTGGCACTGGTATTAATGAAATAGTATTTCTAATACCTTTAACACAAAGAAAACAAGAAAATTAGCTCTTCCCATCAAATCTTTCAGCTCTAAAGTTTAAGCTGCAGCAAGATGGGACAAACGTACATACTTAACAAGCACATTCGCACGAAACCACTGCAGAATCAAAAACTTTTCTTTCACTTATTAAAAAAAAAAAGCACTTAGCATAACACACTGTAAAGTCTGTGAAAATAACAACTTTGAGTAAAGATCTATTTAATGTTGTTACTGTATCCAGCATTAAAGGACACAGTTCAGATTAAAGACTGTAGTTCTGACTCACATTCAAGATACTAGTTCAAACAGAAAGCAAACACAAGTTCCCTCTGAAAAAAAACTTGAAAGTTTAAAGGAAAGAGGGTGCGGAAAAAAAGTTGAAGTCTCAGCTTCCCCTGACATTTTCAGCAAGCTGTATCCCTTCAAAGCCTGCAGTTATACGTGTTCTCTGCTGTAAGGATTTTTTCAGACTGAATCTAAAGTGGAACTTCAGTTACTGGTAGTTAAAATTAGGTAGTACAATTAGTTGTATAGGGTTTGCCCTATACAACTAAAAGCTTAAGGCATGACAGTAGACTCTAGCACTACATTGCTCGTAGATGCTGGCTACAATTTTGTGAGTGCCAGACAAAAAAGGCATTTTATTTTGTGCCTGACAAGATACAGAAAAGTATCAGTAACTAGTGACTTCACTGACTGACAGCTGATTTTACAGTACTATATTTGAGGTGTCCATTTAGCCAGGCTTTATGTATAGTTCAGCTACTCACAGCTCATGCATTACAACTTGTCTAAGAATCAGCAGGGATAAACCGCTTTGCAAAAGCTGCTGATGGTTGCACCAGCCCTCCAGAGAGGAGTAAGAGATTACCACATGACCTAGTATTTTCTCATCATCTGAAAGGTACTGTAAATGCATGCTACGACCTACAGCAAGACCAGTTTGTAACTTGTACAATCATTAGTAAACAGTAACAGCACAGCCTGTCAGCTGCAAAGAGCATCTTTAAAAGGAACAATACAAAGTTTCCTAAAAGAAATTAGATTTTCTTAGATTTTCTTTTCTCGGTTATCTGAAGCAACTGACTCCACCTGTGAGGGCAAGATGCATGCCCATCCACCTGTGTTCCTTGTATTGTGGCTCACCTAATCTCAGCCCTATCATGCATCTCTCAGACTCTAAATCCTGCAGCAGAGCACCGTACTTGAAAGCAAAGATACACACTGAGAAGCATCATACTCCTGCATTTTGATATGCCATTCCAGCTTAAGACACCTAGGAGGTTGTTTCTGTGTATTACTGTGTGAGACAGAGTAGCCGTCTACTTAAATGCTATCGCTATTTGATGTATTTACAAAGGGAAAAGCAGGGAAGACTGCCACACAGAACTGGCAAAGCCAGTTAATAGCACAGAACTATAAACACCTACCAGCGAGAATCAACCTGAACTTATGGTTACCCTGTCACCATTTTAGAAAGCCTTACTTCTGGTTCACGATATTGTGACCCTGGTACTGGTCATTTGTCCTGCGGAAGAACGCCCAACATTGAAAAGAAAATTCAGTTGCCAGCTTTTCCTGTCTAAGAGTCATTCCCAGTTCATGAATCCAACCACAAATACTAGACAGAGCCAAAGGGCTGCACGCAGGAGTCCAAAAGGAAAGACCAGCCGCACACAGCTCTAATGTCTGCTTGCTCAATAGGGAATTAAATTCTAAATCTCGGTTTTCAAAGTCACTGTACTGGAAGTTTCAGGATTTTACACAATTCCTGTCCAGTCACCTTCCTTGGCGATTCCGAAGGTGTCTTTCCTAACCTTTTAAATAACCACTTGGATGAAACTAGGGTTAATTCAACTCTTTATTGAAGAGATCTATTTTTGCTAGAAAATGGTTTAGGTCAGAGTAACAAACACTAGTAAAGCCACCTCCACAAAGGCTGCATTAGTTTTATGCATATGTTTAACTTCAGCAAATAATTATCCACATAAATGCTTCAACAGATCAATATTCCATTCCAAATAGGAACTCTCAAGAGTATTTGCTTCTGATCTCCCCAAGCTCATTCTGAAAACTTAACAATATCATTTTATACTGCTCAGAAGAGAAAATTCCTATGTTACACAATCTCTACACACACCTATTATACAATTCTGTATATTTTACTGTGTACTAAGGAAAAGTTTAAAAAAAGTTCTTTATCACTGTTTGAAAGTCACACAAGAACGTAACTATTCAAGTTATTCAGATGTATGACAAATAAACTAAATTCTTTCCGAATAACCTTTAAAGGAAGGGAAGAAACCAAGTAGTTTTTTGTCCGAGCAAAGACGGTACATTTCTTGCCTGTTTTCACAGAGATCAGCCTACCTCTCCCTTTGCTGTAAACCGATATGTTATAAAGCAAAGTGCAACAGCAGCAGCATGGTTACCAGCTTGACCCTAGCAGAAAGTGTCTTCGTTCATGTGAACGTGAGAAAACTTGTCATGTAACCACACCAACCCACAGAGATAATACATGCAGTAATAAGAAACAATTAGTTGGTACAAAACATCTGTACGCCAGCAGTACATGTAACATCTCTCCATTTGCGTGCTACCCTCCACAACATGGACCTGTTATGAATAATCTGACAAGTATACCAAGCACCAGAAAAAAAATCCTGCTTTCTAACCTGTCAAGTAAAGACATTTTTCTTTTAAAACTCCAAAATACTAAAGTACCTGCAGAGAAGAACTACTAAATGCTTCTGCAGTCTTTCCTGAGTGTTCTGAGAGGCATTGCACTGAAGGATCAAGTTAGGGCATCACCTGGAGCATCTAAGTTTTGAGTCTCTCTCTTAAGACTCAAGGTTGCTTCTGCACTTCATCCTTGCAATATTAATAGCTAAAAATACATCCATCTATTAAGATTATATCTTATACAACTATCCCCATGCACAAAACAAAACAAAAAAACCCAGTACCTCATGCATAGGAACGTGTTTTTGTATAGGATGTCCTGCTCAGAATCAAATAATTTCAAGAATCCTGAAGCAGAGGCGAGATGTCAGCTTCATTTCACTAGATTCTGTTAACTGGTAAATGGTGTGCCTGAATTCTGCGCTCTTTGACTTTGCGCTTGCAAGATGACTAGTATCTTGAAAGTGACATGCTTGCATAAGCCTACAAAAACTTTGACTCCAACAAAAGGAAACCCGTGAACAGTACCAGAACTGCAAACAGAGCCTCCACTGACCCATAAGAACTACGTGACCCCCTTCAGTTACTTCTCAACACAAACAGGTCACGCTCCCGAGTACCTGACAAAGAGTTTATAGGCGGCGCTCGCCACTC